ATATATATATATAAACACACACACACACGTATATCATACACACATACACACACAAATGCATATGTATGTACTATTCCTTTCCCCAGTTTTCTTTATCCATCTGCCTGAAATCTTGGTGTTTCTACTGGATCCTTCTTAATGGCAGCAGATTTTTCTCTCACTATCTATGTATAATATCATTCTGTTTAACTTCTTAAGAGGCTTTCTTTCCTGATTTATTTGTACAAAAAGCTTCTCTGCACCATCTTTAGGAATGTGCTATTTCCCCTCCCCCTGCCTCAGAAAAAGCTATTTATAGTTCTTCAGGGCTTCCTCAGGTGTCTACAGATGTACACACTTGTACTATGAATAAAAGAAAAGAATTAGTGATGGTTTACAGACTTGAGTTTGCTGGACCAACATGTTAACAAGGCTAGTTTCCATATATAATTCTGTTTTGAATCTAAATTGAAAGAGCTTAAAGAAAGATGGGAATCTATTTACTGTTGTGTTTGACAGTGTACAGATTGTTTTTTTAAGAGAGAATAGTTATTTGGTTTAGGAGAATCTATTTTGATCAGAGAATAATACAAAAGGAAACAATCTTTTATTGTGCTTTCTGAGGTTGTTTTCCTTGACTGAATAGATTGTCGTGACACACAAACAGAAACATTCTCTGCCACAACCATGAACACAACCCACAAATGTAGGCATTAAATCATGCCTATGGTTTGTAGCATGTTTTTGTCTGCATTTTTAGACATAAAGTTGATGTGTGTGTATGTACCTCAAGGAAATATATGTAGCCAGACAATTTATACTGCTTTTGAATTGATGGACAAAATAAAGTGTATGTTTTCAGGTGGGAGGAGGGAGGGGGAGAGAGAGAGGGAGATAAGCTGAGTATTATGATTTGTCCAGATAATCTGGTAGTCTATTTTTAAATTCATGATTTACAGATTCAACGAAGAAGGGAAAATATGTGGACAATTGAAATTTAAACTATAATTAAGAACTTTCAAATAAATCACTAGTTTTCAAAGCAATTATACTATAAAATATAACTAGACATTTGTTAAACATTTCATTTCAAAAGCGAATGAAGATGTTTGATAGCAGCTAATGTCTTTGAAAAACAGATAGAATAAAGTTTTCCTTTGTTTGAATATCATAAAAAGATATCTATTTCTCTTACTAGTAGAAATCTTACTCCAGCTAGTATTATTTTATTATGTAACTAATTTACAACTGTTTTGCCTTGTTTCTCCTCTCATCTATTTATTTAGGAAGTAAATACATTTCCCTTATAATAGACCACAATTTTGATTTAATTATATTTATTCATAAGAAACTCTCCGGAGAAATTGAATTCACTTCTTAGTAAAAAGATTTAAGATTCCTCCAAATCTAAGTCACATTTAGTACACCACTGCTAAAATTTTGCATTATATATGGTATGAATTCTTTTGCTGGATTTTCAGTCCACTAGACATTTTTATGTGTCTTTTATATCAGTTTCAACTGGAAACACTGGAAAGAGAAATAGTTATGGAAACTCTAAGCTAATGTAGTTTAGGGCCAGTCTCAGACGTCTTTTTGACTGGAGGCACTGAATAATTTGGACCCAGTGGATCCAAAACTTGAGCCAAAGTCATCTTATCTTGGGACATTCCAATGAAATCACCTTCATCGGGACATTTATTGTAGCATTTCCTACAAGTGGAACTGATCCACAAAAACAGGTGAATGTAACACTCCCACTCCTTTTCCTCCAGTATTGTTTCTTTCCAACATAATTTTTGGTTGGTAGCTCTGTGGTTAGATCCTGGTTTCAGTAGGATTTAGAACACCTAATGGATATAGAATTTCCATATAAGAATTATTTCCATTCAAATATACATGGAAATAACCTGGTTTAAATCAATTTAGCTTGTTCATGGCAAACATGTTTTATACACAGCTTCAACATCTTAACTGAGGTTAATGTTTCATATATATATTGTTTAGCTCCTTCAGAAAGAGAACTTTCATTTTTATTTGTTTATTCACTTATTTATTTATCCAACTTATATGCCACTTTTCTTGTGGTGCAGCTGCTGCTCCTCCCCATCCTGGAATGTTAAATTATTTTGGATAACATTAGGTAGATTAGCTTTAACTAGCTAAAGGAGACTTGATGATTTGACATATATAACATATATGGGGCCAGTATGACCATATCCTGAGGCAGATGGAATGTTGTTACCTTTGCACCAAAGTGATACCTATTTATCTACTTGCATTTGTATGCTTTTGAACCAGAGGTGGTATTCAGCAGGTTCTGACCAGTTCTGGGGAACCAGTAGCAGAAATTTTCAGTAGTTCAGAGAACCGGCAAATACCACCTCTGACTGGCCCCTTCCCCATCTATTCTCTGCCTCCCAAGTCCCAGCTGATTGGCTGGGTCTTCTTTTGTTGTCTTGCACAGGAGAACGGAGCTGGAAAGCAGGTTAGTGGGGTGGGGAGGGAATGGGCATTTTGCAGTAATCTTCTCCCAGGAGTGGAGTTGGAATGGAGATTTTGTAGTATCCTTCCCTTGCCATGCCCACCAAGCCACACATGCCACGCCCACCAAGCCATGCCCAGTAGTAATTTTTTTTGATCCCACCACTGTTTTGAACTGTTTGGTTGGCAGGAGCTGAGGCAACGCGGTAGCTCATCCATCATAGAATACTTGGTCTCCAATAGCCAATGTCCAACTGCAGGTGAAATGAAATAAAATGAAATGGTATGTATGTGTATGTATGTATGTATGTATGTATGTATGTATGTATGTATTTACATACTTACTAGATTTGCTAAGGCTAATTCCTATAAGACTGGGTGAATTAAAACATATCCATTAAATTAGAAAGCAACTGCCCAGACTATGCCTGGTTTATGGAAGATTAGCATTGTTTTGCATTATTTAAATAATTTGAGTTATATTTTTATAGCAAAGTATCATATTTGTATTAAATAACCCATGCTATCCAGTGGGAAAATAAAGAATATTTTATGTTATTTAATCCTCAGGTATCTTTATGGAAGTTAAGAAGTAGAATGGAAGAATTGTTTAAATAAAACAGAGCA